ATCTGGAATGATCATGGCAGTGGAGGCTGATCCAGGGCAGTTACAGAAAGTAAAAACCTTGGAGGTTTATCAGTTGCTACTAGTTTCTAGATGGTGAGTCATGTACCTCATACTTACTAAATGCCAACCCTGCGTCCACACTTTCACTGGTGCAGTCCATTTAGGGGCAGCCTAAAATCAGCCAGCTTCAAAGTTACAGTGGAGCAAAACCAAGGGTCTGAGAAAGTTCTTCCTTTGCTTCTCCCTGGGATGTTATTGCTCTTGGAATTCCTCTTTCCCTTCCATCCACGTTCCTTTCTTCTTTTACTAACCTGGAGGGCTTAATGAAGTCATTATATGGCTTTTAAAGAGATGAAACACAACAAAGAAACAAACCAGTGGAAGCAAGTTTCTGTTATGGATAACAGCCCCTAAGCAGGGCTTCCCAGGACCCGTGTCACCCGTGACGTGTTTTACGACTCTGGATTTTCCTTCTCTTTATTCTGAGAAACTGCCCTTGACAGAGTTTGTTTCATCCGTGTGGATGTGTCTGTGCACTTGGCGATGGTTCTGAGCGTCCGACTTGGGTGCTTGGGTGGTAAGGTCTGAACCAAGTGATTGAGCAGCAAGGTTCTGAGTTTCATTTTCAACATGTTCAGCTGGACACTCACATGGGACTTTCATAAAGGTGTAGGGAATACTGGTGTGGACTGGTTAGTCTAGAAACAGGGGTGTGCAAGTCATCAGTTTTGCTAGCCTCTGGGGCGTGGGTAGCACCCACATTGCCCTCCCCAAAGTCACTCTGGGGTTGGTCTTTGTTATCTCTTGGAGCCCAACCCAAGGTTCTTCCAGAATCTTTGGGTCTCTCAGGGAAGGGAGTGAGGTCTGGGTACAGGATGTGGTTCCTTGGCAAATCTCTATCCTTGCCTTCAGGGCTGGGATGGCTCAGTTCTTTTCCATACTTCAGCTTTTGTTTTAATTTCTAGACTCTCCTCATGGACCCAGACTCACAGAGGAGCATCTGGATTGAGACTGAATGTCAGGAGGTTATCTGGATCAGCAGCTAAGAGGTTTCTCCGGGGGTTGAGGTCGAGGAGGCTTCTGGCCTCTAACAGAGTCTGGCCAGCTGAGTTTAGTAGTGTGTGTGTGGTGTGTGTGTGTGTGTGTGCATGTTTCCCCATACAGTGTTTTTCAAAAGTGGAAGTAATTACCAATTGATGTAGAATCGAGAGATTTCACACAAAATCAGGATTTCTAGTTTCTTGGGGAGGGGGAGGAACAAAGCCAAACAAACAAAAACACAGAATATCTGATGATCTGGGCCTAAGTTCCTTTTTATCAACAGGAGCCTGAGCCTGAATGTGCTTCAGGTGGCAGGTCCACTCTCCGTGGGGTGTCCCCCTTTCCTGTCTTCCTGCCCTTGTAGGCATTGGAGCTGGAGACCCTCAGGCTCATCTCATTAGTGTGACATCCTTTGCTTCAAGCAACTGAAGTCAGCCCTGAGTGTGGTCTGCAGAGGACGTCAGAGGGAGAAGATGAGGGAGGGGCGGGTGAGATATTGTGCTCCATTGGCTCCCAAGAGTGGAGCCTGCAGATGTTGGTTAGGTTGGCTCTGAGGACTTAAGTCAGGGCTCAGGCTTCCTGAGGAGTCCATCAGCTCTGGAGAATTTCTTGAGTCCTGTCTGCTGAACCCTCCAGGGACAGGCATTGCAGAGGTGTTAGAGTCTACCCCTCTCCTTGAGCTCGCGATCCACACGCTGACCCTTTAACCAAACTGGCTTCTGCAGGCCCTCTTGGATAAGACCTGGAGTTGGAGCTAGATCAAAGTGTGGTCCTCGAAGGGTCCTTATTTTCCATTCCCAAACAAGCCAGTGGACGTCTCCTGGTAGCCATGCACAGGGATGTCTAGGCTGGCATTGCCGAGTGTCTGAAAGATCACTGAAGCATCACTTTGCCACTCAGCACCTGGCAAAGTGTTCTCCAGTCTGGATAAATTTACTGGTATGAATTATGCCGTGGCTCTGTGCAGTATAAAATTGTTGGAGTCCTAGCAGACTCTTGCTGGCTACTCCTCTGTCTGGAGCACCTTACCATCTGTCTCCATTCAAAGACAGCCTTGAGTGGGGAATGGGGAAGGACTTGGGCAGGAAATTCTTTTTATTTAACCCTAAATCCCTTCAATGGCAGCTTACGCTCATTTCCTAATCTTGCGTGCTGTGGAGACACAAAAGCAGCAAGTCCTGGTCCTACCTGTCACACGCCTGCTCTGTGAAATCAGCCCCAAAGGTCCCCCCCATGAGGCTTTTAGTTTCTGTGGTACTAACACTGGGTCTGTCCCTTTCTATTAAGAGTCGTGGTTCATGAGACATGCAGCTTTAAAGAATGTACCTAGTAGCATCTTAGACGAGCTTCCTGAAAACACTTACCAAAGGCTGCAGGTCTTCTTGTCTAAAAGACAGGAGGGAGGGTCTGGGCTGAATTTCTAAGAATATTTAAAAGTCAAATAAGGATCCCAGGTGTCGTGTGTCTTGTTGGGACTCCTGGATGGGTGTGTGTGGCTCTCCTGATGCTGGATTGGTGCATCCATTTGTGAACTCACATGTGAGTTACCAATGATCCTATGCTGTGTCCAAGGGTAAATGTAAGGCTGCTATGGTTTGGATAAATCTCCCCAATTCCATGTGTTAAAGTTTTGGGTCTCAGCAGTGGAGATGTTGGGAGGTGGTGGCATCTTTAAAAGATGGTGCCTAATGGAGGTCTTAGGTCACTGGGGGCAAGCCATTGGAGGGAATGGTGGGGTTCCAATCTTTTCCTCCATTTCTCTTTTGTTTCCTGGTCACCATGAGGTAAGCAGCTTTGTTTCACCATGTGCTCTCACCAGATGAGCTGCCTCACTACAGATCCAAGAGCAAAGGGGCCAATCAGTCATGGACGGAGACTTCCAAAACCATGAGCCAAAGAAAACCTTTTCTCTTTAGAAGTTGAATATTTCAAGCGTTTTGTTATAGTAATGGAAAGCTGACTAACACAAAGACATAGCGGGGAAGAAAAATGAGAGTATATTTATATTGTTCTTCTTTTTCAGATAACATTGGTAAAAAAATTAATATTTTTCTGGCCTCGGTGCTTGTGCACTGATTGAATCACTAGTGCCGGGAAGTGTTTGGGTTTCATAGCTCTCACGTTTCACAATGTCTGTTGAAGAGTGGACTTCCCTTATGGGAGCTTTGGAATTGAATTGTAAAGATAAGTTGTTGGTGATTTCACGCATTCATTTTCTTCCTTGGGGCAAACACGCACTGCTTCCCTTTGCAGTTTTTGGATATCTTGCTTTGCTTCTACACACCTTTCGGTCCGTGTGAGATGTTGGATTCCTGGAAATGATTCTGCTGAATTTTCTTGTAGGCAAAGAAGGGCAAAAGAAAATTATAGAAGGGTAGGCACGATCACACGTTTAAACTGCCCAGAAGTGGCTGGCATGCCGTCTCTGTAGTCCAGTTTTCTCACCTGGGTTCCTCCATCACAGGGTCACAGGAAGCTCACGTCTGGAGTTGGGAGGGGAGGTTTTGTGGACTTTGGTCTGTGCCCATAGTCTAACACCATGCTTTTGTCTCTTCAGTGGACATCCTTTCTCTAACCCTGCAAAACCCACCAGGTTCATACCCTTCGTTCACGCCTTGAATTTCTCCATCAGGTTCTCTCAGGAGCTCTCTTCTTAGCCCCTGGTTTTACTTGAGATGCAGAAGGGCTGTCGGGAACAATGACACATATGTTAGAGTTGTCTGTATTTATTCTATTTGGAATTTTCTATTAAATTTAATTTTCAATTAAACCCACATTCTAACCAATGTATGTGCCATCCCTTTATTTTATGGGATTTCAGATGAAGTTTTCTTAATATTACTAAACTTAAGGTTTTCTTTTGTTCTCTAGGTTATTTTTTTTTTTTCCTTTTTTTAGAGTGCCTGGCTTTTTCCCCCCCCCCCCCCCCCAGCGTCAGGGTTTATTTGTTGTTGGTGGTTGTTTTTAATTACAACTGCATTCTGGGCCTGGTTGGGATGTGCGGAAGTTTCATCAAGGAGAGGGAAGATGAGCCCTGAAATAGCTCATCTCTGCAGAACTCTTCAGCACACCCCTAAGTATTCTGCCAGGTGATCTTGGTCTTAGGCCTCGACACCAATTCTTCCTTGACCCTGGCATTATTGAATAGCCGTTTTCACATCCAAGTTGGCTGAAAATTTGTTCGACTGTTGCATGAATAGTCAGCCCTTATTTACATCACCTTGCTTTACAGTATCAGTTATCTACAGCGAGCTGAGAGGTCTTGTTGGACAAAATGTTTCTTTTCATTTTGGTAAATTTGAAAATCAATATTTGGTTTTAGAACCTCATATCTGAAGGTAAAAAAGTAACTGGTGCTTCTCTTTAACGTCTTACTGACAAAACATGGAAGCATTTAAATTCAGTGCCTGCAGCTAAAGCCAGAGTTTTACTTCCCTGTCAGGCTGGTGATGGTTTGGGTTTGTTTTCTTTGTGGAAATGAGTTATTTCTGTTATCCCACTTTGAATACAATTGGTATTCTTCCTGATCACAGTATTTGGGTTATTCTTCTCAGAGGTGTTTTAAAGATTGTCCAACAGATCATACTAAATACTAAGAACTTATTTAGTGTATGAATGCCTCTGGAGAATTTGTCAAATTGCTGTTTGGTTTCTCTTGCTCTGGCTTGTCAAAGTAATCAAGGCAGAGAATGCCTAGCATTTATTCTAATTCGTTTCACTTTTGGTTTAAATTTACCACCCACAGCTATCCAAAATACAAAGAAAGCTGGGGGGTTTGGTATGTTTGTTTTGCGTCACATTGTAGCAATGTGCAAATACAACTGACTTAGAGTCTTTGGGATCAGACAGAGGAAAGCCTGTTGACTTTTTTGTTAATGCTATCAGAGAACTTTCAACACAGTTCTTTCCCCAACCTGCCATTACCTTAAGTTGATAGTTGCGCTGTTTGCATAGTTGACCACCCACTGAAGCCAAGGCACGTGAAACTGCTGTCCACTAAAATGGGCCTGAAAGTCACGTGGGACCCACCCAAAGATGCTACCAGTAGACCCGTGGAGCATTACAACATTGCCTATGGAAAGTCACTGAAAAGTCTTAGATACATCAAGGTGAATGCGGAGACATACTCCTTCCTTATTGACGACGTGGGTAAGTGACCCTGTGCTCTTGCTGCCAGTCAAAACTAACTGTGTGCCACATCTCAGGATAACTATTTGCAAGACAAAGTATGGCCAGGATCTCTGGGGATGAGAAGCCAAGTGCTGCGACTCTCTCATCAAGAGTCTGGCCTGGGCTGACTTAACTCCTGCTTCCAGGCATCAAGTATTCCTCTCCAAATTAAAATTGCAAATGATTTTTGGTTTATGAATGTGCTTTTGGAAAATGCATTGGTCCTTTTTGTCTTATAGAAATGTGATTACCTGACAATTTGGTAGCCTAATCTGGAAACTTCTAATTTCTAAACCATTTTATAATTAGGGATAATTCAAATACAGCTGATTCTTGAACAACATGGGTTCAGACTGTGCAGGTGCACTTACAAGTGGATTTTTTTGTTTTGAGATTTGTGACAATTTGAAAAAACTTACAGAAGAAATGAGATCCTAAAAATATAAAAAATTTAGGAAAAAGTTGGGTAAACATCGAATGCACAAATTCAAGTAGATAGTCCACATATCATCTATAACCATAACATACATGAATCCATTGTTAAAATTTGTCAAAACTTAACACATATAAACTGTACATGATGCCCTTTACAGTAAGAGAAATCTAAACAAAGTAAAGGTGCGGTATTAAAATATATCTGTAGAAAACTAATTGCAGCACCCACAGTGCTACTGTAATAACACCATGGCCACCTCCTGTTGCTATCACGGTGAACTCAGGTGTGGCCGTGTCCTTTTAGGATGCCACCATGTACCACTCCTCGTTTCCGTGTGAGCAGTTGTCTCCTGTGTAAATTGTGTGTCACAGAAAAAAGTGATCTCTCCAAGTTTTTGCTTATCTTGTCACCATATGTGGTGCACACAATATATAAATTATGTGCTACTTGACCCTTTCTGTTGTTGATAAGGTTTCTGGTCAACAACAGCTTCTTACTACTAAGTTTGGGGGAGGCAAAGCTTCTATGCAGATTTTTTGACTTCACAGGGCTCGGTGCCCTGTCCCCTTGGTTGTTCAAGAGTCAATTGTAACACATGTGGAATGTCATGCTAAGCTAAACCTGGTTAAAGATGTGATCTTTTTACCCACTTAAATTTCATTTTTAATTTGGTCCTGGAGCCTGGGAATATTCTGAGTCTCACTCAATGTGTGTTGTCCTCTAAGTGCAGACGTGGGAGGTCTTAGACTGGGGCTTTGAGCTGCCTCCTCCGCATCCCTCTTTTTTTTGACTCCAGTATCTTAAACTCCATTGGCTTCAGCCTCAACCTGAAGCTGGGTCATAAGGGAGTGATGGAGGGTGGCACAGAGATGACCAGGTGTCCCCTGGGCCACGGAAGTGCTGTAATCCTGGGTGGACCACGGTCAGCGTGAGGCTCCTCAGCACCCATCCCTGGCGTCAGCTTGCTGTACTGGTTCCTCCTCCACCTCCTGCACTGGACTATTATGTTTTCTGGGTAGCAGAACAGAGACTGTGTAAGGGAGATGAAGGGGGCCAGAATCCACTCCTCCTGGCTTCAGCTAGGCAGGTATTTCCTCGAATCTCTTCCGCATGGTGTGGCCACCCCCCAATCCAGCTGCGAGGTTAAACGGAGATTCTGTCAGAGTGAAGGCCTGGGCAGGGTCACATCTACTCAAACCTTGAGTTGTTATGATTGCTGCAGAGAAGGAAAACATGTTAAAAGAGAGTGGTAGAACTGGCTAAAAGCCAGTTTCTGATGGGTTAAATGTAGGGATTCAGACACATATGGATTACATTTTTTTGAAATACAAATAAGCTCAGAGTGCAGAAAGTGCCTGGTGAAGCAGGGTTTTGCATTCTGTCAGAACCTGGAGCATTTCCCCACTAGTATGACAGTTCATGCCAAACCCCAAATGCCACCAGGCCCTGCCAGATTCAGACAGAAGTCACACCAGGCTTGAGCAGAGTAGGTGTCCCAGACGGTGTATTCCAGTGGCTGGTGCAGAGCCTCTGGCTGAGAACTGATGAGGTTGGGTTGAGGAAGGCTCCTGGCTATGAGAAGGGCCACGGTCATCACTGCCGTACCCAGAGCTGATGCTTACCTCTCTGACCCTCATCCCCTGTGATGTCCATGAGCTTCCATCTCTTTGGGGAATGGGCCCCTTCACTTATTTTGAGGAAAACTGAGTGCTATTAGGGTTTTGCTTTTCAAGCTGCAAGTTCTGGGGGCACCTTCTTTGTAACAGGGCATCTAGGTTTCCTGTTGCACCCCAACAACTTCAGTAAGTCAGTCAAAGAGAGATATTTGACCTTGACCTCAATACAAAAATCAAAAAGTAAAGCCCAATTATTTCAAGTAATCAAGCATTTCCAAGATTCCAAGAAATATATATATTTTTTTACTAGTGTTTTGTTGAAATGGTGAAAAACAACATGAAGGCAAAGTCTAGGGATCATTTTACTGTGAAAAGGAAAATTTCCCGAAGCTTTATGTAGTGCAACGAAGAGTTCCCATGTGCCATGTTTTATGAGTTACATTGACAGTTTCTTTCTTTCTTTTTTTTTTTCCTGGAAATTTCAATTTGGAACTTCCAGGGGGAAATATTATTTATAGTTTTTGACAGTGTACTTTCAAATAGCAATAAGTGGACTGTGAGTTCCTATTTCTTTCATTGATCTTAAAGTTAAAATCCCTAAGTGCCCTTTTTATTGACTGCTTATGAATCCAGATTTATTGCACATGCCACGTACTCTGTACTAAATGCAGTTTGTGTTTGGGTCTGGCATGTCTCAGCTGCGTGAGAAGAATGTTAGTGATTTGAGTAAAAACCATGGAGAAGGCTATCTTAGACTTGTCACTTAATTCAAACCTTTATATTTAGTTATAAAGCAAATAAGGAAGATGATTAGTGAGTCAAACTGTGTGATGCTTGGAGATTTGCAACGGTGGCTTGATATGAACCGTATGTTTCAGAGCCGGGGGTAGTGTACTTTGTGCTGGTTACTGCAGAGAACCACAGTGGAGTGAGCCGACCAGTTTACAGAGCTGAGAGCCTGCCTGGTAAGTCTCCTCTAGAATCAGAGGCTGTAGTTTTGTAACTTAGAATGGGAGAGACCCCCCCCCCACACACACTTTTATCAAATCTATATAAACTTTGAATTAGGAAAGGATTCCCAAGCAAGACCTTTTTAGATGTGCATAGCAAGTCAAAATATAAAAAACTAGGAGAGACTTATCCCTTCTTTTACAATAGTTTTAAAGTAGGTTATTGGCATTTTGTCTCCATTTTTTTTTTCCGACACTCACTAGAATAAACCCTGTGCAGAAGACCAAACATGGACTGTCCATAGGCTTAGGTTTGGAGCCACTAACATGGCCCCAGGTAGATCCTTTTGAATATCTGGAAATATCATTGAACTCTACAGTAAGGAAACACTGAAGTATGGAAACCCAGTAGCCTTGTTTCTAACCATCCAGTTGCATTTCCCTAATTCAGGAGGTGAATGGATCAAGATTGATGGACCCTCCATTAAGGGTCCAGCATCATTTAATGAAACCGTCACAGGTACTTGCTCCCTTGGTTCATGTCTTCACTGAAGCATCTCCTCTCAAGAGGGCTGTGCTTCTGTCACACACATGTGCTCACAAACCTTCATTCGTGCCCATCGCTAAACTAACACACGTGCCACACGGTCTCAGTCGATTTGTTCTGTGCCTGGTGGACCAGACTGCAGCAGTGTTGCTCATTGCTCATTGTTCCTCTGTGTCCTCGTGGTGGGTGGGTGGGGGAAAGCATCCACATCTACATCTGGGGAGATTGTCGCCCTGTTAACCGGCAAATATGGTGGTCGAGATGGTAGTTCTGGCCCGTGGAGAATTTTTACAACTCTTACTCTTGTGAATGGCATAAACAAATGGAACCCACAAAACAGTGGCTTTTATTGGCTAATAGTGGCATCAAGTCTTGCTCTCTTTCCTGACAATCCTTGGATATTTTCTTATGCGTTGGATAACCTGCCTTCCATCTCTGCTCCATATTTGTATATATGTGTGTTGTATCATTTGGATGTTGATGTTGTCTGGTCATATTGTTTTACTTATTGAGAGAAGTGTTGACATTTCTTGTGTGTTGTTTCTTGAATATGTTTAATTGATGGTGAAAAAATAATACACAATGAATGCAGTTATTTCACGATGTGGCTGGGTGTTATCCCCAAGACAATATGGTGAGGAATTATGTTTTATTTTCATGCACCATGTTTTTAAATACATCAGTCTGGTGTTGTTGTGCAGAAAAAGGTGAGTATGTTGAAACTAATGACCATATTATGTTTCTCAAATCTGTTTTGCTGGTGTGGATGGTTTAAAAATCTCTTAAGTATAAATGGGGTAGAAGAAGAAAGCAGTCAGCAAAGACAGCTGGCTTTGGGGTGAGGTGATACGTTCTTATTCAGATATGACGAGCTTGAGGTGGCTGTGGGGCGTGGCAGTGGGGAGGTCTTGACGGTGTTTGGAGTGAGGGAACAGGAGTTGTAAGAAGGAAGTGAGAGCTAGACATGGATTTAGGGTCATGCCATTGGGGGAGACTTGAAAAGCAGAAAAAGTACAGAAGTAAGAGAGGCTGGGAAGAGAGAAGGGCAGGAGGCCAAGGATCGAACTTGGAACTCCCCCTTCACCTGCAGAGGACATGTTCCAAGACCCCAGTGGATACCAGAAACGTAGATAGTACTGAGGTCTATGTATTCCAATTTTTTTTGTCATATGCACATATCAATGATAACTTTAACTTATAAATTAGATGCAATAAGAGGCTAATGACAATAATTAATAATACAACAGCTTTAACAATACACTGTAATAAAAGCCATGTGAATGCAATCTCTTTCTCCCTCCCTCTCTCAAAGTAGTTTTACTGTATTCCCCTTCTTGTGATGATGTGAGATGGCCCAATGCCCACGTGATTAGAGGAGGTAAGGTGAATGGCGAAGGCACCTTGATACAGCCTGAGGCTATATGCAGGCATTACTTGAACCAAAGCACTGTGGTATTTGTGACAGCCAACCTGACGGTCCGGAACGTAGGGAGGGTAGTGTATGCATTATGGATATATACTGGACAAAGGGATGATTCAAGTCCTGGGTGGGATGGAGGGGGATGACCTGAGATTTTGTCACATTGTGTAAAATTGTGTGCAATTTAAAAACTGAATTGCTTCCATTCAATAATTTTGCGCCACAGTTGACTACTGGTAATTAAAACCTGGGAAACAAAACTTTGGATAAGGGGGGTTACTGCATGCTTGCGATGTGTGCAGAATGGGAAAGGATGTTTATTTCAGAGGTACTTACATGTTATCAGACTCACATAAACATTTTACTGATGGATATACATGCCTTGTGTGTGAATCTTTTATTTTGTAATGTAAATAACCATTTTATTTTTACAATCTCTGTGATAAAGTCTTCTTAATGACCTTAGTTTTAGAACAAGTAATTTTCTTGCTTTTTTGTAGGTAATTAATTTCTCTTGCTTTCTTTCCTAGAAATGCATGCGGGTGTATGCATGTGTGTGTATCTGTGCGTGTGTATGCATGTGTGTGTATGCGTGCGTGTGTGCATGTGTGTGTATGTGTGTGCATGTGTGTGTATGCGTGTGTGTGCATGTGTGTTTGCATGTGACCCTTCTGAATAAGTAAGTGTCGCAGAAATCCTGGGTGTCAGGGATTATAAGAGGATTGGGATGTGGCTCATGGCTGGTTGTATGTCTGATGAGGTTATTTAACCCCTCTGTCTGCAGGAGCCTCCGTGGGCTGTGGTTGCCAGAGCACTCTGCTAGAATACATGATTCTCCATTTGTTATACAGTATGATAAAAAAGATACTAGGAGAAATTGCTAGCTAAAGCCTCTTGCACATGTGATAGAAGGCACAACTTAAAACACAAAACAATCTGCCGATATCTGTGATGCATATACTTGGTTAAAGTGCTCCAGGAGAGCACTTTTTCACATTGTTATAGAAAATAACATGATTAATTTATAAAATATATTGATATATTAAATTATCAATGTATTTATACCTTTATTTTTGGAAAAAATGCTGTGCTTTTGTTCTGAGAAACGGTTAAATGTATAATAATTTTGTGAAAGAGAAGTACTCAGAATTGAACTCTTCATTCAAAGGAAGGGATTTGTCCTGTGTAGCATGAGCACGGGCACCTGGTGTGAAGCCTGGAGGGTTCATCTGTGTCTGGAACTATAGCCTTTCCTGTTCTTCAGGGCTTTCATTCTGCTAGAAACCGAGGCTTGAGTTCAGACTCCAGAAGGCCTCGTTTGGTTGGCTTGGACCTCTCTGGACTGAATTATCTTTGCCTAAAAATAGGATGTTGATGATTTAACTAATTCCTCTAGTGCTGCGCTTTTCCAAGCACAGGTTCTTCTGCTGGAGATACACAAGAGCAGGACAGACAGGAGCTCACCCGACGGAAACTTATATTTTAACAGGAAAGAACATGGTAAATAAGAAAGCAAAAAATAATGTATATCACCTGTTAGTTTGCTAGGGCAAAGCACCCCAGCCTGGGGGCTTAGACAGCAGCAGTTTATCTCGGGGGTTCTGGAGTTGAGCAGTCAACGTGCCTGCGGCAGGATTGGCTTCTCTGAGGCTGCTCTCCTTGGATGAAATGCAGATGGTACCTTCTGGCTGCATCCTTGCGTGGTCCTTCCTCTGTGGGCTGCATGCCCTGGGGCCTCTGTGCATCCAAATCTCCTCTTTTTATAAAGACACTAGTTGTATTAGTGTACCCCAATTGTCTCATTTTGACTCAAATTACCCTTAAAGACCCCATCCTTAATGCAGTCCCCTTTTGAGGTACTGAGGTTAAGACTCCAACATATGAATAGGGTGCCGCCTACTCCTAGGGCCACGCCTTGTTAGATTTGTTATCCGAAGGGAAAAGCCTGAGTCCTGAGTCATGGCACTACCACGCCAGACTAAGGTGATCTTTCAGATCCTCGTGGTGCATCAGGACTTAAAAGTGTGTGCATTTGGAGGGGCTCCCCACGTGCAGGGATTTTCATGATGAATCTTGTGAGGAAGAGGAAAGAACATACTAGAGAGTTCTGGAAGGTTCACAGGATATCAGTGACTCTCAGATTGGTCCCTTGTCCAAATAGAAAAACTCTCAGGACTTAGAAATGAGATGAAGCAAAACTGCCACTGCAGGGCAGACGTTTGGGTTTCCTGCAGAGCGCGCACCCTGTCCCCGTCGGGAAGTTTCTCCCTCTTGTTGGGATGTAGACCCATATCCTTGTGCTGACATGGGGAGAAGATGACACACTGCTCACTTACGGGAATACTAGTATCCAGCATTTCTGTAGACTTCTTTTTCTGTGAGCTGTTTAACTTTTTTCTGTGGCTGCATTTGGGGCAACGGGGCCAGGCAGAGCCAGGACCCAGGGGTCAGGATGGGGACATGTCCCAACTTTGCTACTGACCAGCCTACAGATTTGGCTGGGCCAGCTCTTCTGCTTTTGCCAAAATTTTCATGTTGGAAACCATGTTAGACTCTGGTTAATTTTAGTTCTTAATATACTCAGATCTATTTTTAATGATTTTTATAATTTTCTAAAGATCTAGTCCTCTGTGCTTTTCTCGAACTGTGGAGGTAACCCCGTCTAGCACTAAAACAAAAGACTGCTTTTTGCTTTTTGTTTCTTGACATTTTATTTTAGTTCATGAAGGCTCCTGTCTTCCTGGGCATTAAGTAGCACTTGGACCCAGGATGAGTGGAGAGTCCAGAGCTCTTCCCTGGCCCTTTCCTGCCAGCTCCTGGGTGCTGTGCACCTATGGTCCAGGTACTCCCTCCTTATGCACCACCCCTGGCCTCCACCTGCGCCCTGACTACAGCTGCACTTGGCTTGTGATGTGTTTCTCCACCAGGCATTCGGGCCATGTCTGTCTCCACGATAACGGCCTATTTGATCTTCCCACCTCCTGCTGTCTAATGACCACCTCCTGCCATGGAGTCCAGAGTCAGGGACCGAGTTGTTCCCTCCACCATCTGGAATCCTGAATGCCACTGTCTGATGACAGCCATGTCCCTTCTTCCGTCTCCTGCTGGCCTTGCTTGCAGGCCTTGTCAGACTCTGGATCTGCAGTCCCCAGAAGGCCAACTTCATACACAGAGCACAGTTAGACCCTGGGCAGGACGGCGTGAGGTTCATCTTTGGAACCCTAACCTAGCATTCCTTTAATCAGAAATGCCTGTGGGTTTACAACACGTGTGCCCCAAGCATGCATTCTCTCTTTTTTCTATCAATATTTCATCAAAATTTTCAGGGACATATCCTTGACAGTTTGCTTAGTTAAATATGACTGATGTGGAAATTGAAAACTCTGAACTGAGTATCTTGAGCCCATAATCTCCACTCTTTGCATGTCTAAGAGAGACAAAGTACAGACCAGGAGCCGCCCTGCCCCTGAGGAAGGCCAGACCTTCTTATCTAGATCTCTGCAAATTCATGTATTAGTCCTAAAAGGAAGCACTGTCTATTTAAGGTTATCAA